AGTATTAAACTTATTATTTTATTTCAAAACATTGATGCAATGAAATTGCATGCATTGTGTTAAAATAACAAAATGCAAATTAAAGAATAAAAATCCTTTACAGTTAGAACATCGAATAAAGACTTATTACGGCTTTATGAATCGCAGGATGCAGAAGTCCGTCCCGGTTTGTTCGAAGGAGATATAGCCGTGACCAGCGAGGTATACCTATATCACTCTCTTTTTTTCATTTTATATCTCTTATAAAATGTGTTTCATATCATTGCCACACAGTATTTCGATTACTGGCGCATTGGTTTACGCTGGGATGTTTTTCCGGACAAACTGTGGGAAAATAGAACAGTTCCCTATGTAATTAGTGCTTTGTATGGTATGTTTAGAAAAATTTTGTTGTATTCTCCTTAATACGTAAAACTAATAGAGAATAAGAATTTTAAAAAATAGAAATAAGAATTTAAAAAAATAACATATATGATCGTTTCAGATATAGTGGATTATATGAAAATATACAAAGCCATCACATATGTAAATTATATGACATGCATAAAATTTGTTCCATGGGATACTAAAGCCAAAGATTTCTTACTGATTTGGCCGATAATATACCCCAAGGGGTGAATATTTCTATATTGTAAAAAGCGTAGGTCAAGCGTTGCAAAAGAGATGATTAATCTGTTCTTTCTACATCGTGAAATTAATCTGCAGGTGCTGGTCATTCGTGGGGAAATTCGGTGGAGCTCAGATACTCTCCTTGGAACCACCAGACGAAAAGGGACCAAATTGCTTGGAGAACGAGGGAAGAGCGATACACGAGTTAATGCACGCTCTCGGTATCTTTCACGAGCACAGTCGCGCCGATAGAGATATGTATATAGATATACACTACGACAATATTATCCCTGGTAAGTTAATATTAAAAAAATTGTACAATCATAATACAAATATAACTATACTGCGCACAAAAATTGCATAATTATATATTTATATATTATATGAAGATAACGTTTTTTTTAATCTATTTTTTTTGTTATAGAATTTCGCTCAAATTTCAATAAGCAATCGCCAGAGAACGCGACATATAGTTACGAGTATGGATACGACAGTATAATGCATTACGGAAGCCATTTCTTCAGCATAGATCCTACAAAACCGACTCTAACTCCGAAAACACCTGGCGTGATGATTGGTCAACGAAAAGCGATGAGTAAAATAGATTGTTTAAAACTGAATGATCTCTACGGATGTTTGAATAAACCGGAACAAGCGCGAATATATTACAATATTTGCAAAACGTTAGGATTATAAATCTAAACTATAATTAATAATTTATAGATGTATTCTTTTTAAGATGTAAGAGGTAAGAGACTAAACTTACATAGATGAATATGAATCGAAATACACAATCTACTTTATTCTTTATATTATAAAATTATATTTAAAAATTTTTAATTCAATATGTCAATTTCTCATGCTCAAATTTATCTGCAACTTGAATAAATTCATGTTTTATCAGTTCATTGCATGAACGATATTGTGAAAAGTGCCAAGTGTTCAACCATTCCTTATCGAGGATTCCCATCATCTTCCACAGTGTATTCTGTAATTTCAAACATGAATATTAGAATTTAATTTAAAAATTTTTGCAATTGTAAAAATAATTTAAACTATCAGTTCTTCTTAGAGGTGAAAGGGTGTGTATAATCACAGGAATATCATATACCTATATCATCATATAAAAATCTTTAATATATTTGTTAGGTTTTATTAATTGTGAAAACTTACTTTTAATTACCATTTGCAACATTTTCTTTGCGCAAATAAATATTATATTTGCATTAAGTGTTGTCTGCATCATTGATCTTTCAGTTTTTCAGGTCAGTGTTAAATTTTCAAGCTTTCACATTTTTTTCTTAAGTTGGAAAATATCCAAAAATTATGAGTAAGATCTGTGTCATATACTGAATGGTTCGCCTATGCATCAGTATTGCATAGCTTTTGTCCACAAATGTAAAGCTTGGCATCATTTTGCAAAAGATATCACTCTTTGTTTTAGACTCTCTTATTGCTTATTGTTTTCTTCAGACAAATAAATAAAGCATCCATATAATATTATATATATCCTACAAAATCAAGAATAATTAGATTACGTGCATCGATAAAATTAATGCATTAGCATACTTTTCTAAGGATTATTTCCATCAATATAGATTAACTTTAATCTCCATTCAATTTATTCTTTGTCTTTTTCTAATCTTTAGAACTAGAAAAAGATGAAGAATAAATTGAATCAAGATTAATCTACATTGGTAGAAATGGATATAAATGTTGGAAACTTAGAGAAACGGCTCCAGACAGTATCGTGTGGATTCCGAAGGCAAGTTCCCTCTTTCTTTACCTCCCACAAGCATTCATGCTCCAGTGAGATACGAACTGGAGGCATGCCAAAATGAGAGGACACCAAATTGCCACGTTGATAGAAAAATGACACAAGTAAAAAAATTAGCGTTACAGAATTGCAATATAAAATTGCAATATTTGAATTATGAAAATTATTTATAGCATAATTTTAAAGAATATGTAATATATAATTGAAAGTATAATATGGAGAGAAAATGAAGTTACACATATTCATTATCTTAAAATATTCTAATCCAGAATTTAATAAAAAATGCTCTATAAAAGTTACTAATTATGAGATGTGTTAATTATTTTTCTATCACCACAGCAAAATATAATTACACAAAATTAATAGAAAACTTTTAAAAATAATAATTTCACAAAATAAATAATCGTTCTTCATTTGAGATTGCAATGTTCGTTATTTTTAGGGCAGATTCGTTCTAACTGCTACTAAATTATTGTGGTATAATTAATTTAATAATTACGTAGTATAATTAATTAAACCACGTGGCGACCGCGAATCCCAAAAGAAAACGGTTAGAAACAAGATTCATGGAATACGAATTTGGAGAGAATATTTATGAATATTTCCGCACAAGGAATAACCGGCCAACCATGTAAAAATTTAAAAACTTTATGAAGTAGAAAAAAATGCACTGTGATAAGGTTATGAAAAATTAAGAGGAGACTAGGAGGAGACATCTTACCCAAGCAGCTGCCAATGGTGAAAAGAACGAACGTAAAGAACAAACGCCAACGGCAGTCAACGATGCTACTATCATCAAAGAAAACGAAGTGTCTGAAAGTGGGGAACTTCCGGTATTAAAGGTGCCTTCTCATGCTGACGCTCGACGACCATTTTTAATGACTAAACAGTGATCACGTGATCAAAATTGACACTTGATATTCGTCAATTTTTATCACGTGACTTGTTTGACGCTAAAAAGGGACATCAGTGAAAAAAACATCTTTAGGATATATTCTAAAAGGAGGGATATATTCTAGGATATATTCTAAAATTCTGAGGAAAATTTACTCGAAATATATAGTATACGTGACTTACATTATAACATATGGAATAAAATCTTCCTCGGAGAGGATGTACTATATATTTGAAATGTAACTTTAAATTTTAACAGAGACACTAACTTCCGTAAGAATGTTTATATCAATATTTATACCCATTTCCATCAACGCAAATTAACTCTTCGTCTTTTTCTAATCTTTAAAAAACTAGAAAAGACGAAGAATAAGGCCGGAATCAGACTATGCATTGAAGATTGAAGATTAAAGATTAAAGATTAAAGATTAAAGATTGAAATTTCACTAATGAAGACAAAAAAATTTTGACTCCTTTTGTTCTGATTGATCAAACTTCAATCTTTCAATTTTCAATCTTTCATTTTTCATTTTTCATTTTTCATTTTTCATTTTCAATTTTCATTTTTCAATGCGTAGTCTGATTCCAACCGAAGTTGAACCGAAGTTAAAGTTAATCTCATTGATGGAAATAAACATTAATGTTTAATAGTATCTCATCGATGTACAGGAACACTAATTGTCGAATAATATTGTCGTAATTCTCAATTTCAAATAAAATTCGCGAATGATCGATCACGAAAGCGTCCGCCAATCAGAGATCGCTACTCGGGTCGGTCGGAGTAAATCCGCGGCAACTGACAGCCCCTCCCCTCGCCGTCTATTTTTAAAAGCGCAATACATGCCAGCGTGACATTTCGCGCGCGAACGTTCTCTTCAACGACTCCAACGCTGAGACAAAGTTCGCGAGCGGGCGAACGCAGGTGAATAACATTGCTAAAAAAAATCGCGCGTATCTTGCCAATTCGGTGCATGTCGATTTAATTCGAATCGTAATTCCGATCATCGCTGGCGTTCAACAAGACAGGGCAACGACGTAAAATCGGAGCGCGAGATATAAAATCCCAGTTTGAAAGGAGCGAGAAGAGTTGTTCATCGAGCAACTAATATTCGTTTCCCGATAATATTCGACGGGTCGAAAGGTTCATCATTTACCGCGCGTCGAAAATTCCGAACGTCGTCCGGGACTCGTCGACTGCCGTGAAATTCCCTCACGACTACCGGAAGCGACAGGTTGTCAGTATCCGCGTCGCGCGCGCAGCTGTTCCGTTCGTTTGTTTTCGTTTCGACGCACCGGCCACCACGTATCTCCCCAAGATTCGGTCTCGCGTCGTCGAGTGCCTTTGCGCGACGTTCGCGATTTTGTCGCCCACCGCGTTCACCTACGACATGGCTTCATATGGGCGATATTGTGGCAGGAACAATCAGGAGCTCGTGCAACATCTGCGGCGTAAGTGTCCACGCGTGGTTATGCAATGTTGTGTCATCGAGGTCTCCTTCTCCCTCCCCCCTCTCCCCTCTGCCTAGCTTCTATCTCGTTGACGTCGAGATTAGACTTGAAATCGCAACGCAATTTATGCAATATTTTATTTGCAATCTAATCTAAAAGTTTGAGCTGTAAAATAAAAAATGACCAATTATTATTTTTGCATTTGACTTTGAAGTAATTTAATTTTTAAAAATATACATATATTTATATATGTGTGTGTGTGTGTATGAGTACAAAATAATTTCAAAAATTAATAGAGAATATAATTTTATTATAT